TCTCTCTCTCTCTCTCTCTCTCTCTCTCTCTCTCTTTTAATTCGTTTATAGCCAATGCTTGTAAAATGGGGACTGGCTACTGCCTTCACTAATATGAAAAGCTCAACACTTTTACCGAGGTATAAGTCCATGCGTTAAGTCACCCTTTCCTTTGAATTTCTCAACAGTTTTTAAAATGAAGAAGTTTAATTTCCGAAAAGTTTTGGACGGCTTAACTGCCTCCTCCCCTGGCAGTGGTAGCAGCAGTGGCAGTAACAGCGGTGGTGGGGCTGGAAGTGGTTCCGTGCACCCAGGAGGGACTGCAGGGGTTCTCAAAGAGGAGATTCAGGAAACCCTGACTTCAGAGTATTTCCAGATTTGCAAGGTAAGTTTTGAATTGGCTTACAGCCTATTATTTCTTTATTTCACTGTTGTGAGGAAAGAATAATTAAAAACGAACAAACCAAACCAAACCAAACAAAAACACTCACTAGGGATCAGAAATTGTTGAGATGCCAGCATCAGGCAGTCCTGGGCAGACGACTCTATAGGTAGATGTTTGAATTAATAAAGATGTTCTAGGCATCGACTTCAGTATCAATTTAAAAAGCAATGGTAATTTAAAGTGGAAATAAGCAAACATAAAAAGTAGAATTTGCAATGTCAAGGCCCAAATTGTGGGCAAAATTTTTAATGTAATATTTATGTGTAAGTAGTAAACTGAAGGAGAAAATAATCACTCTGGTTAATTCCATGTTGACATTCAGAGAAACTAATTGTTATTTTATTTCACTGTGCAGTATAAAATGATTAAAGCTATTAAAATGTTGCTAGAAGTAATAGCTAAGTGAATACATCCATTTAAAAAGATGTAACAGTATTGTTTTAAATTCATTGTTTAAAATTCTGTATGAAAACACCTCCAGATTCTTAAATTTTTAAACAAATCCATGGACTTAATACTTGTAAGAACTTAAAAATAGCCTGTGTTCTGGTTTAGTGAGGAAACATTTTGGGTAACTGTACTCTAATGTTCAAGTTCTAGTGAATAAGCAAAATAGAGTTTCTGATGGGGAGCCATGAGAATTTTCAAAACAAACATTTTGTTACTATATAGATATTTATATTTTCTGACATAAAGTAGTTTATAATTCTTACTGTTCTTTTTTGGGAAGGTAGCTTGGGAATGTATTCTTGACCTCCATGTACAATTAAAAAAGCTACTAAGTCATTCATATAATACTGATGAATATAATTTTAAGATGTGTTTGAATACATTAGAACAAATCATAAATTTTTGAAATTACAGAAATTATTCAATGTTTTGGTACTTCAAAAGAATTTTTTGAAATTATTAAAATTATTTTTGTAGTAAATAACATATATAATGGGGTAAGTTTAAATTATTGTCTTATTTGCTATTCCTGGTAGGATCATTATAAAAACATTAAACCTGTATTTATTAAAATATTATATATTAATTTACATAAAAGTGAATTTATTTAGAATTAGATTAAAAGATATAATTCTACCCTATGAAGTTTATATGCATACAATTTTGTATACAAAGTTGTATATAATTTCGTTCTCAATTTGAAATAACAGATAAAGATGCCAGGGTGGCTCAGTCGGTTCAGCCTCCAAATTTGGCTCAGGTCGTGATCTCATGGTTGGTGGGTTCTGGCCCCGCTTCGGGCTTTGTGCTGATGGCTCAAAGCCTGCTTTGGATTCTTTGTCTCCCTCTCCCTCTGTCCCTTCCCTGCTCATGCTCTGTCTCTCTCTCAAATAAATATTAAAAAAAAAAAAAAGAAATAGTAGATATTTTGTCAGATTAGGGGCTTAATATTGGTCATGAAAGAAATATGGAAAAGGGTCTTACAGGCTCAAATTTGAACTGCTAGTTAGGGGAATAATGCTATGATTATCTAATATTTGGTGTATTACTGTTTCCATTCCAAGATTCTGAAAAAATTTCCAAAATCTCTTAGGATAGTTTTGGTAAAGATAAAATAGTTATAGAAAAGGTAGACCTCTGAAACAGATTGGCAGGACTATTGAGGTTTTAAATCTGGTAGAGAAGGTTTTAAATTAAAAATTTCAGGGGAAATGGGTGAATGCAAGAGAGGAAAATGGGAGATGTCTTCCTATTTAGTCAGACAGGAAATAGTCATGAGAAGTAGCAGAAGTGAAATATGCATTACTTCAAAAACATATGGCATGGTAGGAAGAACACTGGCCTAGGAATCAGATTGTACTTTATTTAAAGCTCTGTCACTTGCCAGCCATGTAATCTTGGACAAGCCATTTATCTGCCTTGAGCCTTGATTTTCTCATCTGTGGTATGGTAATAAGTATTTCTACTCTTCTGACCTAAGAGGGTTACTGGGAAGATCAAACAAGACAATTAGGTGAAGGTAATGTATAAATTTGGAAAAGGTGCTAAAATGTGTATTTTTGTATTCTTAAATTTTTGAAATCACCTTGTTCTTAGTGGAATGACTATAACCAGTAGGTTGTAATAATATAGGTACAAAATTATACTTTCAAAGAAATTAAGAGGATACATAGCTGTATAAGTGGAACACTAATAGTATTAAAGTGTTACTAAATGGGGAAAGTACTATGTCATCTTTGGATAGCAATATACTTAATTTTTAAAAGTGATTTTATGATTGTACTTTAGGTTACCTTGACTATAATAAAATATATAAAAATGGATTAAGGAAATTCCAAAATTAGGACTGTTACTAAAGTGGGGACTTCATTTGGACTCACTGATGGAATGTGCAAAGAACATTCTATTCTGAGCACTAAGCAATTGGCACCTTTTGGGTACTTGTAACTTTTCCACATGATCAAAACTAAAGTGTAAATCTGTAATCTGCTCTTTTGAAAACCATCCTCATCTCTATTATCTGATCAGTCATCAAATCCTATCTATTCTATTTCCTCAGTATTTCTGAAATTTATTCCCTTTTCATCATCTTCAGTACCTGTTCATTCTACCATAGTTTCTTGGTTAGTCTCTTGAAATCACTTCCTACCTGATCTTCTTACCTCTAGTTTTACCCTGTTCCAATTGATTTTGTTATAATAATGGTTATTGCTGAACTGTAATGTTAATTATGTCATTTCCCTGCTAAAAAGTTTATGTTCGTTTCCCTAGAGCAATGATGCTCTACAAATAAAAGGCTAATGTCAGACCCAGTAAACAGCAGCTATTCAAACAAGTAAATATACCTTACTGGCATACATTTAAAAATAAATAATAATAATAAATTATACAGCTACTTAATAAAAATCATGTATTTTATATTTGGTTTTTGTTGTATAATATTATCCCTGTCAGGTGTAGGACTTTTGATGGCCTTATAAAAGTAAAAGTATAAAGTTACACCTTTTATAATCAGTGACAAATGTATAAGAAGTTCAAAAACATAGAAATGGTAGAAGAAACTTAGGTTCAAGCTTATCAAAAAACAAGTTATACATTAGTTTAATGCAATCTAAGTTCAGTATGTATGCATTTGAATGCCCATGTTGTTCAGATATTTATGAACTACATGAAGTGCCTTTTCTGAACTTGAATTCTGTGAAACACAATTTGAAACTACTGCTCTATACAGTAAACGTCAAGGTGCTTAACTTGATCTATATCAGGTTGAGGTTCTTATTTACATTTCCATCCTCGTTTCCTTGATTTCCTACACATACTGCATTCCCTGAAAGGACCATATTTTCTCATATTTCAATGCCTTTTCTCAATTTGTTGCTTCTGACTAGAATATCCTTTCCAGCTTTAATAAAATTGGAGAATTCCTAGTTACTTTTTATCTCATAGTTAAAATATCACCTCCATGAAACCCGCTCTGTCCACTACCTTCCTTTTTTACTGCCCAAGGCGGAATTAGTTTTTTTTCCCCTTCTGTTTTTTTATAGCACCTGGAATATTCCTTTTGGTGTGAATTTAGCACCTTACTGTGATTAGAAAATTTATTTTTCTGTCACTATTGTTATATTGTCAACTCTATGAGAGGAAAATATATGTTTCCTTATCATTACTGGGCTGCTTACTACCTAGTAGGCCAGTGGTTCTTAACTCTGTGTAAAAGAAAGATTTCTAGCTCCACTCGTCTTAGAGAATCCATATCGAGGAATGGGGCCTAGACACTTGCATTTTTTGAAAAGACCCCACAGGAAATTCTGATACACAGTCAGTATTGAGAATGATTATAGTAGGCACCTGATATACTTCATGAATGAAACAGTATATACATGGTTGGTTGATTAAAGCAGAAAGTCATTAATAACGATATATGTCTTAAACATTTTATTTTAACTGAAAATGTATATACACCACTTTACAGGTCACTTGATGAATGAACAAGATTTTTTGTTGTTGAGCATTGGTTCTGTAATTGGAGTTCTGTGTGGGCTTTTCTTCCATAAACCATCCCAAAGTCATTATGTATAATTTTCAGTTTTAACTTATTTAAAGTAGAATAAGAACTTTTGGGGGGCACCAAAGTCGGTTGAACATCCGACTTCGGCTCAGGTCATGATCTCATGGCTTGTGAGTTCGAGCTCTGCATTGGGCTCTGTGCTGACAGCTCAGAGCCTGGAGGCTGCTTTGGATTCTGTGTCTCTCTCCCAATCTGCTCCTCCCTTGCTCATGCTTTGTCTCAAGAATAAAGTGGGTGATGGGTCTTGAGGAGGGCACTTGGGATGAACACTGGGTGTTGTATGGAGACCAATTTGTCAATAAATTATATTTAAAAAAAATAAATAAAAAATTAAAGAAAGGACTTTTTTTTTGCTTTTGAAGCAAAGTGTCAGGTCCTTCTAGATGATATATACATATCATCTGACACTTAGTTTATACACATGATGAATATATGGTTGGCCCTTGAACAACATGGGGGTTAAGGGTGTGGATCTCCCCATGATTGAATATCTGTATATATTCTACTCCCCCAAAACTTAACTCCCTGAAAACTTTATCTCCCCAAAACTTAACTACAAATAGTCTGTTGACCGGAAGGCTTACTGATAACATAAACAGTTGATTAACATGTAGTTTGTATGTTATATGTATTATATAATGTATATTTACAATAAAGTAAACAGAAAAAAGAAAATGTTATTAAGAAAATCATAAGGAAGAGAAAATACATGTATAGTACTATGTATTTATCTGAAAAAATTCCAAGCATCACTGGATCCATGCAGTTCATACCCATGTTCAAGCGTCAACTGTATGTACACATATATAGAGAGTATAGGTGAGTGTATATGCACACAATATATATGTGTGAATGTGTGTGTATATATAAAATCTATCTACCTATCATCTATCTTAATTCTTACAGTTAATTGTCCCACACC